GTAATTTCAAAATGATAAGTAACACATTTAAGAAAAAATGAAAAAGTGTGCAACCCTATGTTAAATTTAAAATATTCTATGAGGAGGATATTTATAAACAGGAAGGTAGACTGAGATCACCATGTAAATGTTCCACAGACCACCAAACAGCCATCACCTAGTAACAACTAAGATAATCAATTTGTGTAAAATCCCTAAAGTGGATTTGGCTTTTGTTACTGCCATCTGATACCTGGCAGAAGAGTTACATTTGCAACAGAAGAATTGCTCTATTCATAGATGTTTTGGTCAGAAGGGACCTTAGCAGATCATCGAGTCTGACCCCTCCTGCCCTGGGCAGAAAAGAGCGCTGGGGTCAGACAACTCCAGCCAGATACATGTCTAGCCTCCTCTTAAAGACCCCAAGGTAAGGGAGAGCATCACCTCCCTTGGAAGGCCATTCCAGATTCTGGCAACCCTTACCATAGAGAAGTTCTTCTTGATAGCTAACCTAAATCTGCTGTCTATCAGTTTGTGGCCATTGTTCCTAGGTACTCTAAGGCATGCCCTGCATCTGCTATTCCTTGCTGCCCTCCCCTGATGAATTTGTAGGTGGCTACAAGATCACCTCTCAAACTTCTCTTGTGGAGGCTGTAGAGATTCAGGGCCCTCAATCTCTCCTCATAGGGCTTTGCCTGTAGGCCCCTAACTACACAAGTGGCTCTTCTCTGAACCCTCTCAAGGTTATCCACATCCCTCTTGAAGTGTGGTGCCCAAAACTGGATGCAGTATTCTAACTGCGGCTAGACCAATGCTACACAGAGGGGAAGTAACACCCCCCTGGACCTGTTTGTCATGCACCTGCTAATGCAGTGGTTTTCCAGTCAAGAAATGAATGAAAGCTAAGATCTGGGATTTTCTGAAGGGATCCTTGTATTTTGCAAAGGGTGCCTTGAGTCTAACAAAGGGTATCTTAGTATAAAAAGGTGCCGTTCTAATTAAGTGCCACGTTGTTATATGTATTAAGGCCCTCCACATTTAAAACGGGCCATAAGACACTTTACCTAAACCTCATTTGACAAGGTTTAGATAAAGTGCCTCCATGGGCATTTCAAAACACATGGGGGATTATACATGTGAGATGAGGCCACGCTGGAGTGTTCTAATTAGAGCATGGAACAGACTTGATTAATCAAATGTCCCAACACATTCTAATTAGAACATGAACCAGCACATGTATAGGCAGCTGATGTGCTTTTCTATTTGTGACACAACCTTTCACCCTAGTAGTGCCAAAATAAAACCTAATATTTATCTAAAGCTTTACTTCATCAAGCCATTAAGTGATGCTTGTAATTTCTGTCACTAAGAGATGTAGTATCCTCATTTTCTAGACAGATAAAGCACAAAGAGGTCAGGCACCTTAGACACCTGAGTGACTGGCACATTTAAAAGAATGAGACAGATAAAGAATGAACAAAAGAGATGTGCTCAAGGGGTGCATCTACACAAGACACTTAATGCGCATTAGCATGTCATGGCAAAAACCATGCTAACGCGTACTGCGCAGTGTTATTAGGCTAATGTGTAGGAAGCGTCACTAAATAACCATGTGCCAGAGCCACTGCACAGTAACTTTAGGTACTGCACATTTAGTTAGTAATTTATTAAGGAAGCACTAAACTAACTGCAGAATCTAAGGTGCATTAATGAGTGTGTAGACATGTCCAAGCTCATACAAAGAATCAACAATACAGACAGTTTCAAAAGCTGGGTCTTCTGGCTTTTGTTCATAAACCTATACACTATATCTTGCATTATACAAATGGACTATACAAACTGCTTTTCTGTTTTTGTCAAAGGAATAAAAAGATTCATACACAGCTTCTAGCGGGTGTTTGTTTCCTTCTTTAAGACCTCCCTGACTCCTAAAGCCAAATATAATTAATATCATAATCTAAAACTGTGGGACAGCAGGGCATCTTTACTCTTCTTATGGCAGTGTTGGATCCAGTCTCTCTGGAGAAGTTTTAAAAGAGTAGCCATGTTGTTCATATTCATATAAGTTATAAGTCAGCCTTTTTGGCTAGAGAGTCAAGAGGGACTCCACCTTGCATCTTGACATAATAAAACTGTTGGATTTTAGTCAGACAGAAGAAAAAGTTATTTCCTACATTGTTTTCCCCACCCATCCCCTGCCCTTTGTTTACAAAGGGAAAAAAGAATGGCTGTCCCCAGAGCTATCATTTGTTTACTGCTTTGTCATGCTGCTTGCCCCAGCCCCACAATTTACTGGATGATCCTGCTAAAGAAGACAAAAACTATTTTGCCACAAGCATGTTGACAAGGCAGCAAGACTGGATAGAAGGATAATTTCCCTGTATGTGAGGCACACCAGGACAACTTTTGAGAGCCTTCCTTTTAAGACTGGAATTAGATACGTTCTGAAACCAGCCTGCTGCATGTATGGAGCAAAATGAAACCAAACAATGGTTTGCCTAACTTGCTGTCATTCTGGCCTCACATTGATTATGTGGTTGCATCATTAAAAATAACTCCACCTAATGACTACTACGATGGTTCCTCACCTGTGCAAGCTGAAGTAACAAAATCAACAGAGGAGTGAGGCAACTGACAGCTAGTTCTCAGCCTTGCTTTTAAGTTTTCTACACTGAAGCAATGGGATTGATGGAGTGTATGTCAGCAGCAACCTCCCCCTGGAATATTTTTGTCATAAATATGCACACAGCATAAGAGCGGTGTGGCCATTATCTAAGCCAACCTCCAGTCTTCCCCTATGCTCAGGCTGCACAAACATCTGGAAAGCCATGTTTAAAAGTCCTCTCAGAACTACCCTGGCCTAAAAGGAATCTCCAGGGCTAGAGACAGAAGTTACACATAAACCAGTATAAGCAATTGGAAACCAGTTCAAATCTGTAACATAACAGATGTTCAGTGCACATGCATTGTTTTCAAAATGGCCAAAACCAGTAGAGATAAACCTGGATGGATGTAGTATGAGAAGTAACTGATTTAGGGCAAATTGGTTTCTTGAACTTCTGTTCCAGATCCCCTCCAGAATCAAGTTAACTCTCAGTTCTGCAGCATCCCAGGATGCTTTAAAACCTCCTTGACAACCCAGCCTTTCAGGGTGGGCAGGCTAGTATTGGCTCCAGCTCAGCAGTGAGGTGTGATCTAGCACCCCCTGGCTTCTGGCCTGGGCCACTGCAGGCACGTGGCTGCATTTCCAGAATCAAAAGTGAATGCCTGTTCACTTTCTTATTGATTCAATCTATGCAGCTTAGATTAATTTGCAAAGATTGAATTGATTCACCTTGGGCTTTTTGACTGTCTGTACTTAACCCAAGTGTCACAGGGCTGGCATAGGGGCCCAGAGTTTAGCCTGAGCAGGAGAGGAGGGAGGAATCCAAGAGTTTATAACTTCACACTGCTGATTTCTGGATGACTCTTACTGAGCCTCAGGCTGGTGATGTGTAATTTCAGAGCAGGCATTATTCTTGAAGAACAGCTAGGCTCAGTCAGGAAATGTAGAGGTAGTCTCACCTCTAGTATGGATGGTAGAATTCCTGAATACAACTTGCTTTAGATTATTGTCTCAAGCTTTAATCTCCAGTGATTACCAACCATCCCCATGCTGCTAGCAAATGAGGCATTATTGTTATTGCTCTGATCTTATGCAGCATGCTAGTTGCTATGGTTAAACTGCCTGTTCATCTAAATAAATAGATTAACTTTCTCCAACAAGGAAAAGGAATAACTGACTAAGGATTCCTGAAGGATTTGCAAGTCACACAGCAGTAAACAAAATCTAAGTGTGAATCAACTGTAGGCCTTCGTATCAGAGAAAGAGAAAACAGCATCTGAGACTGCATACACAAAAAAACATTTAGGGCCCCTTTCCATTGCAGAGACATCATCTGATAAAATCAGAAATTACAGACAGGGAAGAGATCTGTTAGGTACAGTCCTATGGATTGTTGTCTATAATAATCACTCAGATGCCCTTTCCAGCCAGCAAAGTAATGCTGGCTTCCCCCGTTTTTCTTGGGAGACTGTTCCACAGCTTATTAAGGTCTCGTTGATAGGATTTTTGTATTATCAATAAAAGAATGACCATTGAAAAGATGAAAGTCTTTGAATGAAAATCACTATTAGAAGTAGCTAGAATACAAGGGGAAAATCAATACAGTCTTACAGAGGACAAACTTGATTGCCATGAGGTAGAATGTCTAGGTGACCCTGTACTACCAGTGGTACAACATGTTAAACTCAGAACATGCTTCCTTTCAGACGTTTGTGTCTTGGCCATTTAATGTTTTTAAAAATATTTCTAAATACATACATCTGTAAACACGGCATCCACATTCACCGACTGTTTTCTTGAAGGACAGATGAAAAATACATGGGGAAAAATGACTAAATGCAATTTTTTAAAAATTTGTCAAGAATTTCACAAGTGCATTAATCAAACAATGTAAAGGCCTTCATATCACTATCTGTAAAGAGCTTATGGATCACCTACCTCACTCAATATGAGCTATGAGTCTCCTCCACTTTTTTACAGTGATGCAAATACTCACGCACAAGTAACTTCACGCAGGTGTCAATCACAGTCTCCATCACATAAAATTCCACAAAAACACAGATTGGCTTTGCAGGTCAGCCAGCCTAGGCTCCACTGGACCAAGAGAAGGAAGCAATTCCTAATGTCTACAACCTCTTCTGACTCTATCAGTACTCTCCCTTTTAAACCAGGGTATGGCTGAAATATCTGGACATTTCTGCTGTTTTCATTTACCATGCCCTCCATTATTATAGCAATGTATGCAAACAAACGTATATTTCAAGACAGTGTTTGAATCTTGGATTTGAATTTCCATGTCAAGCTTCACTGATTTTCCTGGATTAAAAAATCTGCTGCCACTCAGCCTTTAGAGAAGTAAAACTGACAGTGCAAAATACTGGGCTAACACTGAGAATAATACATTCTTCTAACATACCTGAGTTTGACCATTAGGCACCACCTTGTAGGTATTCTGGAGTTGTCCACTTATTGCTTTACCTGATTTAACAAGAAAAAGAAATAAACACACTCAATTACTACTGGCATTGGTTAGAACAAAGCAAAACAGTAATTTATAGGAAACCAGCAACATAAGCTTCTTTCAGAATGATTTTTTGGAGGTTGTGGAAGTAACAATTGTTTACAGATTACTCTTTGTTCCAACCTACTAGAGGCTATATTTCCATGCCTTCAATAGTGCTACGGAATAGTGCAGAGTCTCCCTGTGCTTGAGGAAGGGTGTTTGTGCCCAAAAGCTTGCAAAGAACTTTTCCCCATCTATTTAGTTGGTCTAATAAAAGATATCACATCTACCCAAGAAGCCTTGCCTGCCTATCTCCTTAGACCAACATAGCTACAACCAACAACCCTTCAGTAGTGCTTAACATTCATTTAGAACAACTCTTGTCCCCATAGTGTTAATGGAGAAAACAAAGGGGGTTCTTGGGTTTTTAGTTCATGGGATGAATGAGTTTTAGAGATTATTATTTATTGGTTTATGGTTTACACAGCAGTGGTGCTGTAAATAGAGGAGGAATAGTCCATTTTATTAGACTCTTTCTAAGGCCAGGTACAGACACTACACTTTTACTGGTATACATGATTAGAAACTGGTCTATATCCTCCACCAAAGGGCAAACGTGTGGTCTGTTTGCTACGATGTAAGCTATGCCACTTAAAGAAAAACATGTAACTTAAATCAATTCCGCCTTGGGTTTTTTGAATGTCTGTACCTAGCCTAAGGGTCTGATCCTCTAATCAAACTAGCGCACATGCCTTTACTCCTGTGTATAGTCCCTCTTGAAGCAGATGGGCTCTCGTGTGGGAATCAAGGTACAAATAATACAAATATATGTATTGAGGACTGGACCTCTCCAAAAATGAATAGAAAGAATATTTGTCTATAAAAATAAATATAGATTGGACCAGTTCTTGAGTAAAGCTGAGCAGCTATAACTCAAAATCATTGTGAGGAACAGGCCCATTAGGGATTAAGGGCTGGATCCTGCAGCAGAGAATGTCAATAGATGTTTCACTGGTGACTTTCAACAGAGACAGAAACAGGTAATAACAACTTCAATTACATTCTTCAGTGAGGAAAGAATGCTTGCAGCAACACATGTAGTGCTTGCTTCTTTCACTGACATTTACTGCAACATTTTTCTGTGTATACACGCATCCTGAGAGACGTCATAGCAGTTTATATAAACAGTTATGTGAAGAGGCAGATCTAGGATTTGGCAAAGGGGGTTGTAGGAACAGCAATGCATGCTGCTGCTGGAGTGACTGCACCTCAACGGCCAGACTTTACCAACCTTCCACCCCATACCCAAAGGGTCTGGGTAGACCACATTGTGGGAGCCTTCAGGGACTTTTTAAAGGCCTTTTAAATTGGCTAAGAATCACCCCGTCTTCCCCTCTCTGTTCTGAGACACCCCCACCTCCCATCTTCCCCTCTTCCCCCTCTCATTGCTGCTGCTTTCCCTACTGTGTGGGGATGGGGAAAGTTCCACAGCTGCTCCTGCCCTTTAGCCAGACCATGCAGGGGCTGGGCTCATCTGGGACAGCTACAGTGGCAGTAGCCATAGATGAGAGTTAGGATCCCACCTCCTCACCCATCACCACTGCTGCTGTTCCCACTGAGCCCAGCTCTGTGCAGCCTGGCTGGGGTGGACAGGAGATATGAAGCTTCCTCCACCTCAGGGACAGAGGCAAAAGCAGCAGTGGCAGCCAGAACAAGGTAGAAAAAGAGAGGGGACGTTGTGGGGGGGTGTGGGGGGGAGGGAGAATGTGTCTCTGAGCATGGAGAAGAAGGGAGTGGGGATTCTCACCTGCCTTGGGGACTTGAAAAAAGTTTCCAGAGGCTCCCATGGCACAGTCCAGTCTGAAGCGGGGTCTAACAATGCCTACACCCCCTCTAGGCCTGCTCCTGGCTGTGTGTACCAATGAGTAACATGATTCTAGGGTATAACTAGTTATTCGAAATGTATGCATGAACGGACCACCAGCCATAGGCTCCCCACCAACTCAGAACAAAATAATGGCCTGATTATGAAAGATGCTGTGGGTCGGCTGATTCCTGCCAAGCACCTGACCTTTCACTGAAATTAAGCACTTCATGTTTCCAGGTGGCATTGTATAGAGGATAGGGCCAGAGGATCAGATAGCCTGGATTCTAATTCTAGTTCTGCTGCTGACATGAGTCGCCTTGAGTAAGGCACTTCCTATGTTTGATGTTATTTTTCCTCCCATTCTGTGATAGCATTGGTAGTTTGAAGTAATCATTTTTAGATAAATGGATGGCCTCTCACTCTGTATGCCATATAAAACAATGGGTCTTTTAAGTAATACAAACACACAAACAAAAAATGTAGCTACTCACAAAAGGCCTTAGGAACAACTTTCCATTAGAGCCCCAAAAATCAAAATGTGTACATGAATTATGTGGAACTGTACAAATTTAATCTGAGTTTGTGTATATATTTAATCTAATCTGTGATTCTGCAAGCAACAAGCACATCATTTTAATTATGGAAACTCCAGGCCAATCCAAACTATGAACCAAATGTTTCCGCAGTTGGATGTACTTGGATGTACAATGTACTTCAGTTGGACACTTTATATTGCATTTCTTTTAGTTTTCTTTCTCCTCCGTACCTTCAACATGGGATTTCATTAATTCCAGATATTTTCTGTAGGAAACTAGACCCAAAATAGTTCCTTCAGTTTTTGCCATTCAGATGAAATACACCATGTAGATTTTTTTATTTAAACATACAGGAAATCTGACTGGAGGTGAATGGAATGGGTGGCATTTTAATGTAGTTTATTTTTTTTTCTTTTTGTGCCCAGTTTCTTCATTGGATTGCACTTTACTCAGTCTTTTCTAAAATGCTACCCTGTCAATAATGTTCAAAGCATTGCATTTTTATTAGAATTCTCTTCTTCCAGAAACATCACTTCACACTTCCTAAATGTCCATTCAATTTATGTTTGGACCGATACCCACCTAAAATTCTGGAGGATGATATTAAACAGAATTATTTTATGACATGAATGAAAATAGAATCTTTTAAAAATAATTTTTACTTAAAGAAATGTTGTTCACTTGCCATTCTTTTCCACCTGCTTGCTGAACAGCAAAATGAAAACTGGATTTGGTTGGTTAATTCATTCCTCCCTCTCCAAAGGGTTACCTGTAAAGTTCTGGTTTTTTGATTGTGAACTCAGAACATAACTGAAAATGTTTTAACTGACTCCAGTTTTGCCCTGTTTAAGGGTTCTAGAGTACAGACAGGAATGGGATTGAAAACTCCTCCCCATTTTGCTGCTATGAATTCATATGCTGGGATTTCTTCCTCTAATCTAAGGCATATGCTAACTCTAAGAAGAAAACATTTTCTTTCCCTCCATGCCAAAATTTGTCCCTGCTACCTCTCCCCCTACACCAGAAATGCATGGTGGCTATCAACAAGCTACCCCAAACATCATTCAGAAATATGTTATACATAATATAGTAATGTAAATATTATTGGTGGGAGAATGTCAATATTTCAGCTTGGACTAACTACAGTGTTTATTTGAAGACCCTGACTGATCACTATCAACCCTTACTAGGTTCAAGAGATTTGATCATTTGTCTAATAATCCCTTTCTTCCTTCATTAGATGAGGATCCAGTAAGCTCGGCCACTTGAGAATTCCCCTGTAATAGCCGATACAGGCACGGAAGAGAGGCCTTCTGATTACTGCCCCCTCACACCCATAATGCCAATATGTTGTTACACTGGACTGCTGTGGTGCTTGTAGCAAGCTTTGGCAGTGACCATAGGTTAGCGGAGTCCCTGGGGCTGCTCTAACTTACATTGAGAATCAGCACAATCCTCTTCCAGAATATGTCCAACAGTCCCTTATTTGTCATGAGCTATGCTAAGCTTGAGCCTTGCCGCTGCTCAGAGCTGAGGCCCATGTTTAGCTGAATCTTATCCAAAATTGGGTTGGAAATCTCAAGTGAAAAAACCTCTTCAGAGATTTGTTATTTTTTCTGTTTCCACTCAGACTGGAAATACTGAGTCCATATTTGCATGAGAGTTCATGACATGCTTTTGATCAAAAATTCACTTGAAGACATGTTTGTGGAAAGCAAAGAAAAAGGGACTGTGACTCTGTAGACACAAATTACAAAAGACGCTACATTTTTAAATATCTTTATCTGATACCTTATGCAATGGGGGGTGAGATTTTCACCTGACCAGGCATTTTTTAAGCTGTTGGCAACTGTGCAGTTATGTTTGGTCACAGCGACAAACTGCTTTCTGTGGCCAGATAGGGCAAAAATTATCACTTCCGTCTGAGCCCTGAATGTCCACAAAGCCAACCTGTGTTTTCTAGTCAAATACATTTTGTACAAGCCTTCCTCTTCTTAGTATGTGGCCCAAATAGCATAAAATCAGAGCTATTGCACCACAGAATCTCCTAAATTAGCCTTGCAAATTATCCATTTGGTGCGATTGACGCAAGTGGAGACAACATTTCACAGCTCACAAGACCATAAAGCTCTCTTGCTTGTGCTTCGTTAAGGGAACCTGAACAGTTCAATTAAACGGAACAAGGGAGAAAGACTGTCTTTCTTAGGTCACTAGTTCCAATCTGCTCAGGACAGAGAATCATTACTGTGTGACAAGTGTTCACTGTAAAATGAGCACGATACAAGCCTCCAGCCTAACACGGGATTCTAAGGTAGGAAGGAACATTAGTTAATATTTGTGACATTTTTTCAATAGTCACTGTAAAGAAATTCAGGTTTCAATGGCACCATAATTAAATGGTGTTAAATAAAGTGGACAATGAGGAAATGATTATAATAATCCCCTGCTCTCAGAACAGCATCCTGAGCTTTGGAGATGTCCTGTAATTAAAGTAACAGTGCCAAATTCTATGGCATGTTGCCACCAGCTCAGGCTTTAACTGAAATAAACAACAAAACCCCTAGTATGGCCAAAGAAGGATGTTTGTACTAGCCAAAAGTGCAGAAGCACACCAACAGTACTTGAAGCATGCCTAGTTCCAACACTTTTCAAGTTCTGCCAGCTCATCCTTTCCATCACGTGTAATTTAAACAGGAAATACTTTCGTTATGCAGATGATCACTTTTTAAATATTGTTCCTACTTTTGCTAAAGAATTTGCTAGATGCAGAGGACTAAAATCTATGCATACCACTGACTACTAGGGCTGTGCAAAACAGCACTGTTTTGTTTTGACTTCCATTTCGCCATTACACCAGGACAGTGTTTCGTTTCAAGTTTTGTTTCGTTTCAAAGCACTGTTCCATTTAATTTCATTTAAACTGTTTCACTATTTCAATGCTATTTAGACATTTTGACCATAGGTTATAATGGGGAAGCATGAAACTGCCTTTGTACTTTTTTGGTAGATTTTGATGAAGACAGCAGGGATGGTAGCCCCTTCTGAGGGTATGAAGTCTGCCAAGTTTCAAACAGATTGGTGCAGGGGTTTCTGGGAAACTGCACCTCAAATCTTGAAAGCAAAACTCACAGGGAGGGAAGGGGGGATGTAGCAGCACAGGTAAAAGCAGAGAGGTACCTGGGGAGTCAGATGTTTGGCAGGTTGCAGTGTGCCAGAATTCCAGTGTCTATACTGAATCTGAGTTTCTGTACCTACTACCTAGGAGGTTGATGAAGTGCAGTTCATAGGTTCATCTGTGAAAAGTGGTTTGTAAATTCAAACACGCACTGAACCTCACTAACCTCATCACCAGAAGTCAACTTCCTACAGCCCAAAACACACTGAACAGATCCAGGCTATGCCATGACAAGACATGCAAACCTGCCAACAATATCTCCAGTATGGAGATATCTTCACAATATAATACAGATCTCCATCAGGGCACCAAGTGCTCTGATGGAAAGTATGTAGGAGACACCAAGCAACAACTGCACACCAGAATGAGTGCAGATCGAAAAATCTATCAAAGGCAAGAACAGAACACCACCTGTCTCCAATCTCTCAGGACTGATCCTCAAAGGGAATTTACAAACCACTTTTCACAGACAAGCCTATGAACTGCACTTCATCAACCCCTGAGGTACAGAAACTCATGGACTCAATATAGACATTGGAATTTTGACACACTACAACCTGCCAGACATATGACTCCCCAGGTACCTCTCCACTTTTACCTGCTACATCCCCCTTCCCCCCTCACCCCAGCCTGTCCCTCACCCCCTGATGCATCCATTTCCATTTTCACTGACCGACTTTCTTGCCT